ACTGTCTTCAACCTGTACAGACTGATATTATATATCTGGTATCGATTTTACCTGCCTTCTAATGGACTCATAGATAATATCAACCGAAAACGCTTAAGATAGCACTTATCTGCATCATTCGTTCTAACCGATGATTTTAATGACGATAATCCTCTTTGAGGAAGTAAGGATAAGAACTTAAATATATAAACAGGGCTACTAAGTATGTCACTGCGTATGCCACCATAATGATAGATAGCAAATCCATATCTACAAACTTAAAAGGCTACTTCACAGCACTGATCTGGTTATATGTACGCCATTACATCTATCATTTTATACATTTAGAATCTAGAGTGATCCATTTCCCAATATTTGCGTCTTTTAAAGGAATATGAATGTTGGACATATTTAGAGTTCCAAGGTTTCTTTAAGAGTGAGAGACTTAAACTTGTTTCCCTCTCTAGCTTTTCTTACGAATGAAAAAGTAAGGTGTGTAAAAATAGATGATACTGTGAAGGCCGTTACTGATCTGTTGTCCAGGCGTTCAGAAACCACAAATCTGTATTCCTACGTCATCAGACAGACTTCCTAGATACATATCTAAAATCATAACAGAACCCTATGAAAGAGAACTTTAGTTAAGACATATAAGGGAAACCCTAGTCTCAGAATATTAGCAATTCCATGCTGAAGCATTCGTTGACTAAGTCTTTTATTAGTTTCCCTTCTTACTCTTTGTAATAGAGGTTGTAGCAGGGCATTTAATGTTTGGCATTGAGAAATCCAAAAAACAAAACTTGGAAAAGTCAGAATTTCAATAATGTTCCGTTATATATTAAAAAATGCTTTTTACTATATTTGCCCATCAGCAGCCGAGCGGTAAAATCACTGAACACTGATAGTTCGGCCCGTGGTTCGAATCTCGGAGAATGGGCTGGCTGCATGGGTGTTTTCTTGATTTTCCCCATGTGTAACGTATATACGAGGCAGTTTTCCTTTAAAGAGTCCTCCAAGAAGGCATCCCTCCCTTTAGTCAGATAGCCCTTGAATGTTTAGCTGCAATCAAACAAAACGAACGAAATCGCCAGAATTTTGCACTAACGAATCACCTACGCAAACTTCTGGGGGAGGATGGCATACTGCAGCCTTGATCATTATTTAGAAGAAAATGATAATACCTTTCCTAATCACAATGGTTTTCTAGAAAAGGAGATCAATACTGAAAATGTACTTCTGTTCAGAGCTATATTTTCTGCTTTTTTTTAAGAGGAATCACTTGATGTCAATATTTTTGTGACAAAGAAAAAAAAGTGTATGAATTAGAGTTCTCTAAAATCTCTTCATTGTTGTTTGCAGAGACCTTCCAATTTTTAAACAAAAATTTCTCAAAGAACTGGTTGTTTCTCATAAAAACTGGTACTTTGTTGTTTTAAGTCATTAACTCTTTCCAAAATTTTTGGAGTGTTATGTTATGTAGGTTATTAAATTATCTGCAGTATCTGAAACCTTTTGGCTGACTGCCAATAACCATCAATATTTTTAATGGGCACTGCTGTTCTTTAGTTTAGTTTTAAAAATCTGTTCAGTCCTTTTTTCACTGTCTTACACCGTAAACTAGGTAGTGTGTGTGATTATGGCAAAGCCTCGAGGGCTATCTGCCTAAGGGGAGGGATGCCTTCGTGGAGGACTTTCTAAGGGAAACTGGCTCGTATACACGTTACACATGGGGAAAACCACGAAAACGCCCATGCAGCCAGCCCGTTCGGGGTAAACTAGGTAGGCGTTCATCTCCACTGGCTGCCAATTCATAGGCCAGTAGTGATCTTCATGGGTACAAGTATTCTTGGATTTAATTTTAAAAAAGTATCTAAATTTACTGCAATATCACATATCAGGGATCTTTAACTTGTAGGTCTCTGGCGATGAACAACATTGGCAGGCATCCATGTTCTTCAATATAATTTTAATTAAAAATGCTATTTAAATTTAGTGCACTACTCTGTACTAGTGAATCTGTTTGTTAACAAGTGACAACCAAGCTTTAACTTTTTTTTGGATCGAATGTTATAAATTATGTAGGGGCTACCTTTCTCATGGAAACAGCCTCACATTAACTGAAGATTTGGAACATCTATTCACAGACTACGTGGTTTGCTTCTAGCAGTCACTGCACCTAAGGTACAAAAAGTTCTCTTTGATTTCAAAATTTTTTAGAAATCTGATCGTCCAGTGCTTAGTAACTACCATTCTTGGTACAAAATGCATCCATTCTGCACTCCTGCCTTCGGATCTCACGTCCAAAAGGTAACACAACTATTATTATGCCTGAATAGAGGATCTAGAAATATCCCTCTGCACATATGAAACTTTTAAATTATTTCAGAATTTTATTAAAGATAACAGTCATGTTCTTAACTGTAGCATTTTTATGAATACAGACAAGAATATAATAATTATATCTATACAAATGTTTCTAGGTTCCCTAATCACATCTGTTTGGCTGTTATGTATAATACAACACTACTTTAAATACCTTATATGGCATTGAACCTATGGTAACGTTTTTAAAAAGTACAAAATCTTTTTTATAGATATATTAAGTTTGTGATGAAGCCACGGTTAATTTTTATACTCCATAAAACACAACGTGGTTTAACATAGTAAAATCTAAATTTTTTTTGTAGTTTTTTCAACAGTTCACAACAATTTTATTTATATGTAGTAGTATTTTAAAACTGTACTTGGACGTATTCTTGTCTTTACTTACCAGTTTAGAAAATCTGGAAAATGTTTGGTATATACTTGATACTGTATAATGCATTTAATTTGCACCAACAAAACCAATTCTTATTTTTGTTTCGCTCATACCTTGCAAAGTTCATAGGATATGTTTCATGTTTTGCAGGTGTAATCTTTGGCATGAAAATACAGTTATATCTTGAACAGATCACTTCCACATACACAAATGATATACCATAACACAAAATATTCTGGTGAAATCCTATCTGAAATGATCTAAATTTTTGTGTCATGTTTCTCAGTATAAATCATACACACCAATACAGAACAGTATCTCGTATCTAAAAAATATTTTTTGGTTCCTTACGTATATCATTACAGTATTCATTTATGAAACCTCTCATTTTCTAAAAATGCAGGTTTTATTCCATATACTTTTGACACTTTGACGTTTTCAATCTGTAATAGTGCTCAACTAGACCCAATATTTAAAATTGCTTGTTGTAGGCTTTTTACACCCCTATTCTGCATATCACAATATTAGTTGCTGTTATAATCAGTCACATTTATTCATGCTGTGAGAGAAAAACAGCACAGTTCAACATTGATGAAATAATTAACACTTAATTCCAAGAACCATTCCTACTATATTATGATACAAATTTAAGAGATTTATGAATGTGTTAGAATTGTAAAGTTTTCCGTTTAATGAAAACATTAGGAAATGTGACTTCAAATGGTTGCTACAGAATATTACAAGTTTGAATTTAACTGCACACTTTTGCCCAATTCATGCACTATAGAACCTCATTATTTTGGTTTAGTAGATTAATAATTAGATATCAGATTAGCATTAAGTTTTATTTTCTGAGTCATAGAGCATCCAAGAATAGAAATGATAATTAATTTAACACTTCAAAATATACTCATGTGCATGAAAATAACTGTAACTGATGCAAAATGGGAGAAAACATGGTCTTTGTAAAAGCAGTGTTTGTTCTTTAGTTATGAATGTTTAAATCAAATCTGGATTTTATGTATATGCTATTATTATTAAATTTAAATGAAATACATGTATATGCTTAGAGCAAATATTCACTTATTTTTAATGTGTCAAACAATTTATGGATATTAAGAGTTCTGCAGAAAATTCAACTCTTTGAAACCATCCATGCAAATGGGAAACAAAGAAATTTCAGCAAGTACTTCTGTAATGACAGGAAATAATAATAGGCATTATCTAACTATTAAGTAATGATAAGACTTATTCTAGAATTAAAATTATTTAATTTCCTGAATGCTTTAATATAAGTCTCTTCTGTGTGAAAGACCACAAGCCCTTTGCCTGACACACAAACTTTTAAGCCTCCTTATTTTGCAATAAATAGTTAAAAATTAAAAAATGGGCTGTAACTTTAGCACTCATTTTTCATAATTATTATAAGACCATAATCATCTTTTTAATATAAGTCTGGCTTTAATATAAGCAATCTGCAGCTTTATTGACACTACAGACACTTAAGAATTCAAGTGAATTTTATAAAAGCCAATAAATAAAGACAATTTGTAAAAAAAACATTAATTTGAATTTACTAGCTTTCATGGTTCACCCTTTGTTCATATTGATTCAAGTAAACTACTCTACAAAATTTAATGCTCCAGTAAATCTATTAATTTCAAGTTAAATCTTAATGGAACAAAAATGCAAGAAAATTTCAATTCGTAAATAGCTTACTCAGAAATTATGTAAAACTGCAGGCTTTACTTGCTAATGCATTCTCTTTAACTTTGACTTATATATTTTTTATAAGCACCTAAGACTTAATATTTCATCTTTTTGATTATTATTCAATCAATTTAAAAAAGTATTAGCATTATTCACTTTAGTTCACTCCTATTTCTTTGTTTTTGAATGTTGAAAAATTAAAATATCTAATTATTGGTAGCTCTTTTGATATTGGAATGTGTGAAAGTTTAATTTGTATACAGCTTTACGTACTGAAACTTAACAAATATGCAAGTACTCTTATTAACCAGCGGAAAAAAAAAAAGTGTCCACATTTTTAAGTGACTATAGTGTTTTTTAATCTTAATCAATGAAAATCAATTGATATCATGGATGATGAAATAAAGAATGAAAATATATTTTATTTAAGAAGAAATTGGGATAATGTATTAGTCAATGTCTTGTAAGAAACACTACTTATATTATGCTTCATAGATATGACTAATTCCTAATATGTGGAGTAATTTTCAGTAAAAAATAATTCAACAATGGATAATTTTTTCCCCAGACTTTATTCAGAATACATAATAATTATTTTACAAAGTTTTTATTCATCTTTTATTTCTGAAAATAAAGACATATCAGATAAAATTCCTTGACTAGAGTATAAATATTATTATTCAACCATATTACTCAAAAATTTATGAGTTTCAGTTTCAGAAAATTCTCCTGGCAGAGCTTGCTCTTGACTTTTAAATACATACCAGATTCCTGCCAATCGTTTACTGAAAAATAAAGAAGACTAAATTCAATTGTGAAACAGCCAAGATCACTGAAAACAATGCACTATTCATTTTGCAAACATAAGCCTGAAATATTAAAAATGATCAGATTGAGATCAGATATGAGATTATTTATGAACAGAAAAATTTGCAGTACTTGCATACTATCCCATTGGCCATGAAAATTGGTGCAGAACCACTAATCATTCCTGAGGAAATCCTTCACAGTCAATGGGATGAAGTGTTAAGTACAAATTCTCTGATTCCTCTTTAAAAATAAGAGAAAATTTTGGCATGTAGGTCCCCGAGAATGCATTGTTAACATAAAATGAACTATTCTCTATTATCCACAATTGGGGGTATCACCCTGGCCAAAAGGGTTCATTGTTGCCTACTTTAACAATTTTCTCTTATACTACCAAGTTACATACAAACATAAGCATTTTTATTTGTTTATTGGCCATATAACATCATTACAAAATAAAGCAAAAAAAAAAAAAAAAAAAAAAAGTGTTTTTATAGAAACTGTATGGCAACAGATGAATTGCAAAATATTTGTCCATTATACTTTATATTTTTCAAGCATCACCAAAGGAATGGAATGCTGTCCTGAAAAACATTTCTTAATTTAAATTTCTTTAAATATATCAATCACTTAAAATTATATGCTTGTATATCAATTTCCGGAATTCAGTTATATTAACTGGCGTATTTAAACTTTGATTTTTAATCCTCTGATAAGCATAGTAGCATACTAAAACACCACAGCTCATATTATCAGTTTGCAAAATATGTGAAGGACAAATTATTTTCCATTTAGTGCTAGTAGCAAATATTTTAGCTAAAACCTCACACCATGTATGAATTAAAATTTGATACTCTTGCCCACATGATTTATTTTGTGGATCATAAAATTCAAAAAACCATATCTGGAATATTTACTATTATTAATATCCAATGACAATTTAAATTTGCAGGGATAAAAAATAATTTCGCTGATTTCAATCTTGTTAGTAATGGATCTTTAATACAAAAATTTCGTTTAGGAATTTGTAAATTAGACTTAACAAAGGCAAAATCTTCATAACTGTTTAATATTTTAAATAAAAAAGCATCAATTATAGTATTATAGAGCCATCCTTTTCGAAAACATGAAGATACAGATTTAAACAAGTGTTCTTCTTCATTACTTATAAAAGGATCTATAGATTTTAACATATATGGTGTAATTTCAATATCATGTATTTTTAAACATGATTTGATCAAATCTTTATTCATTCTAACATTTACTGAAAAGTTTTGCTCTGCTGATAAATTTATCTTTTCCTGTGTACAAGGTGGAACATTCTCAGTTAAAATATTATAAATATATTTTCTAAATTGAAGGGTATCTAAAGGAAGATTTAAGGCTAATTTATTTACATGTTGAAATGCATAATAACAGATGAAGACCCCACAACTGCTTTCATCATTTTGTAAAGCATGCGGTAGACACTGAATATCCCATGAACCGTTAATTTGTAACTCACTGTTAATTACATTAGACCATTTATTAGTTAAGTTTATGTATTTTGGATTGCATGAATTTATTAACGAGTCATATAAATAAAAGGTATTTTTCTTTAAATCTGCTATGATCAGAACCCAATGAGAATCAATGCAAGCAGGAATCAATAAATATTATGCATTTATGATTACATCAAATAACCACCCCCTAACAAAATCTGTACAAACCGATTTTATAAAAAATTCTTCACTTTTACTGATATAAGAATCTAAAGACTTTAAAGCAATACGATTGATACTATAGCAGCCAATTTGTAAAATTCTTTCAGAAATATCTTCGCTAGATTTTAATGGAAGGGAAAATGATTTATTTTGATCAACACTGGTTAAATCACATAGATATTTATCACTGTCATTTAAATCAAATGCTACGGCTTTAAATTTAATTTTCTTTTCCACACATTCATTTATTTCTGGGTCATCTACATTATCATTAAAATCTTGATTCTTATTCTGCTGACATTTCTGTAATTTTCTCTTTTTAGAAGTTTTAAACAATTGTGGGTTAAGTTTTTGATTTGGTGAAACTGGACATGATGCACTTGAAACTGCTCTTGAATTTTCATTCGAGTTTAAAATTCCTCTACATTCTGAAACTAATGAATTTAATGTTGTATGAACACACTTTAACATGACATTTTGGACTTTTGGTTGTCTTATTAATTGCAGTAATTCTTCTACAAGCTTTTCACATGCATTTACTCTCTGTTCAATACTTTGTGGATTGTAATGATTAACAGAATACACATTTCTGATTCAATTCAAGATTAATCCCCGAGGGATTAAACACCCAATCATTTTGTCTATTAAGGAATGAATGCACTTTATGTATATGTTTGCACAGCAATTTATCTAAGCAATTGCAGTGATACAAGTGACTACACAATGAGACACATGATACTTTAGGGCATCTATAAAAGCAAAAATCCTGACACGGACAAATTTCAAAAAGACGCTGCACAGTATATATTTTATTTTTTGTCTGAGAACAAACAGTCCAAGAAGTATCAGAGCATTTATTTACATCACTGTCCCTAATTTTTAGTCCTCTCTGATGCCTACTTAAACAAGAAATGGAATTTCTGGGAGATACATTAGTGTATAATTTATAGGTATGATTTAAATATTTATCTTTCTCAATTGTCAGAAGTGTAGAAATTAAAATATCTAATCGTCTATTATGTCTCCGCTTAAAATAAACAGTTTTCAACTGATTGTGAAAAGATTCACAGTACATGTTAGTATCAGTAAATGCATGTGGAAAGTTCCGATAACACAAAGCCCATTCCTCTAATCTATTTTTATAATTTTCAGAAAAATATTCAATAAAATCTCTACTTTTCCTAGAATAGTCATTCAAAAACTTACTTATTTGATCATGAAAAGTGATCTGGTTTCTTTCATGTAATATATTTGTTAATTTTCCTAGCATTTTTTGTCGCACTTCCTTATCTACCACTTTAGAATTTAGTTGCCGGAACCAACTTTGGCGTACGTGCCACGAACATAAAAGATGCTTAACATCTTGACCAAAAACCTTTGAAAATGCAGGATATGTAACTTTGTCATCATCTGTCATTACACAGTTTACATATAAATTTGGTACACGACAGCCAGTACCACGGACACCAACAAGTCTAGAATGACAACATTCTCAGGACTTAGGCCAGGGGTAGCAACGTTCCTTGGACGCAAATCAGAACCAGAACGAGGGACGGCAGCATTCCTTGGACGTGAACTAAAACCATTGACATACTTAAAATGAGAGCCAACACTACATATGGCAACATTTCTAGGATGACATCCTAGGTTTAGTCTCATTCCTTCACATGCAAACCAGAACCAGTTCTATCGGACAGAAGCGTTCCTTTTGGGCGAGATCCACCACCATGGCCAGCAATGCAAAGAGACCGAGAGCTAGCATCTTGGGTTGGCAACGTTTTTCGGATGTGAGCCAGGGGTGGTATCATTTTGCAGATGCAAACTAAAACCATCTGTGTGGATTAACAGCATTCCTTTGAATGAGAGTCACCACCATGGACAACACATTTAAAACGAGATCCAGCACCAGGAAATAGCAACCCTCTTCAGCCGAGAGCCTAGAAGCAACTTTAGCAGCATTTCTCAAATCAGAATTAGCCTTCTTAGTAGCATCTACAGCACAACCATGCTTTAAAACAGTTGAATAGAGAGGATAAGAAGGGCTTGCAGAAACAAAAGAATCACTCAGAGGTGGAAAATCCAATGTAGTAAATGAAACACAAGGCAATACAAAAGGACTTACCTTTGTAGAAACTGGCTTTGAAGTCAAAACAATCTTGATATTATCCAGGAAAACTGCCGCAAGTTTCTTGTTCCCCAGACGGTTTAGATGTAATCCATCCCTAGCCAATAACTTAGCTCCAAAATGATGAGACGACCTGCAAATAAAAAACGCTTCTCGATTTTGGCAGTACTTTTCAAGTTGAGAATTAATTTCTACAATCTTTCTATTAATTACCTGTAAACGGTTCAAAGCTGCTACTCGCTGATTTAAAGTTGTGAAAAAATCTTCACCACGTGGTAGGATATCTGAAATGATAACATTGATATTCGGGTTCAAACGTTTAATATCCTTAAAGAGGCAATCGTACTTTTTAAGAATATCTTCAACACTGTCATTCGAATTGTTGGTACCAACATTTGCACCAAAATCAAATGGTATCGATTGTCCAAAAAGGATATCTTACGTCTTAACCTTTCTATCGTTGCACCAGGAAAAGAATGTAAATCTACTTCATAATTCAGAAGATTCGCCGGTAAATATTCATCCAAATATTTAACCATTGAATCTCCAATTATCAATTTCATCTTTTTTGGTTGCATATCGGCAAAACAAACAACTACAAATCGAAACACAGATCAATAATTATATATGCTGTAAATAAAATGCAACTATAAATTAAATGAAAATCAAACACTAATCATAAATATAACAAAATACAAACAAATAATTATTAATAGAAAAAAAGAAGATAAATAGCTGAAGGAAAGCGAGAAAAATGGCGCAAAAAATACACACCTCACACTCGCTAATTAACACGTGAACTAAATTAGCGCCAATTCTTGACCTCGCGGAAAAATTTACGGGAAAAAAATAACGCCAAATGCTCGCCAAGCTTTGTTGCCAACGGAGATATCAAAGGTACATATCCGGTGATGACGTAGAACACACTTCCGGGTTCCGATTTGCGGAATTCTGTAAAACTCTGGAAATACGCTCTCTCGCAAGGAGGTATTCTAACCTCCTTGCTCTCTCGTACTGGAGGTAAAAACGTTTTTTTTCGCCTCGTACAGTGTTGCCATTGCTCGCTTTGAAATCGCTGAGTTTGTTAATAAAAAATTCGTTAAAGTTTTACAAAATATGAAGTAGATAATAAAACAACTTGCAAATGCTAAATTTGAGCTTCCAGATGCCCATATTCGAGTGGAAGACTACGGCACTCAAAATTTGACGTCTCTAGGTACCGTTGTTATTCACAGTTCGAGAAACATACATACATTCATGCAGATTCTTCATTATTTAATTTCCTTAAATATAATGCTGGGCTCTAATGTTTGGTCGCAACAATTTTAAAAGGGGAAAGCCATTTATAGTGAACCAACGCAAAATGCCAAAACAAAACTAATAGCATTTCTGAGCAATTTGCCTCTTTGAGCTAATAACAAAATGAAATAAAATACTTGGTAGTGAATCCGCATACTTAACAACTACTCTGTTAAACTATTTTAAATAACAAGAATTTTAATTGCTAGATGATTAAGAAAATAAAACTCATTTCATTGAAAGCATCGAAGTTGACATGCTCTCTATATTATTCTCCCCAAAAAAGTTGAATATTTTTGCTATATTTATTGACTTAACTTAAATCCGAAATTAATGTGTAAAAACAGTCACTCAAAACTATTTTACTTTTTTCTCTTTTGTGCAATATTTAGATAATAAGTAGTAAATCTTAAAATTAAATATCCCAAATTATTTTCTATTCTCTTTTCTTTCTTCTTCTTTTTTTTTTTAACACTTATTTTCTTTCAACCGTTATGCTTTTAGATTGCTTGGTCCGAAATGAAAGGGGTTTTTTTTTCTTTAGTGACATTAAGACTGAAAGCTAAAAGGAAAGTGAGACTGAATATGGAAGACTTTACAAAGCTGTAAAAGAACAAAAGCTTTACGACTTGAAAGTGTCACATTACTTTCGGAGTATTTTCCCGCCGCTTGTTTGCTGAGGAAGGACGACTTTTCCTGATCTTACTTCTAAATGGAAAATCGTAGACTTTACGTTCCTTCTTCGTTAATCACATGAACGTTTTGGGAAGCTGGAAAGCAATATTAAAAAAAATTTTTTTAAAGCATAGGTAGTGGTGAAGCGGGAGGGAGCCAGGATGCCCAGGGCACCCCCTTGGCTACGCGCCTGTCTTTAGTGTGGAAAGTATAGTACTTCACTCATTCGAATTGCTGAATGTCAGTAGAATGAAACTAATATTATTAAATAATAGTTAACTTTGTTCAGTTATTAACCTCTATTCAAGTAAATTTATTAGGTCATATACGTGCATATGAATTCTTCAGTCAGATACCTAAGTGGCATTTTTTAGCCGAAAGATTTGATAAATTGAATTGCCTTATCCATGAAAGGGGGAACGCAATTCTCTCGGATTTTGACGTTACATATTTCAGATGTTGCGTCAGTCATCTTTTACTGCATATTGGAAGATAATTTCCTGCATCTTTTACTGCATAATAGGCTTCCTGTGTCTTGCTTCGTAATAAGCTGCGGAAGATGATCATGTCCTCTAATTTTAAAATAACCTCCGTGTCCCTGTGTGTGGAAAGGATGGCACACGTTACGATCGTAAATTAGGCAAAGTCGTTATGAGATTGAATCACCTCTTATAACGTAACGGACTGTAGAACAAGCAGCTTTTTAGTTTGAATTGCTGTGCAAGCTCCAAAACTCATTTACATTACGTCTCTGTTTAGCAATTCAGCTTCCTATTAGATGTTTGTTCCCTACTTTTGAGTATCAAAAGTTCTTTATACTGATAATTTTTTTATGCCGGATAGTGTTCAGCTACCTGTTTGAATTCTTCAAGCTTCCTAGTAGATGTTTGTTCCGTACTTTTGAGCATCAAAAGTTCTTTATGCTGATAATTTTTTTATGCCGGATAGTGTTCAGCTACTTGTTTGAATTCTTCAAGACGCAAGGTTTTTAATAAAATTTTTGTACATTGTTACTTTTCGATTTTTCTCATGCTAAACATTCTCTATGGTATTGTTTTTTCATTTACTTCATGCTACACATTTCCACCTTTCTTTTCCGAATAAGAGGAAAATGGGTGCCACCAAGGCTGTTTTCCGAAGAAAATTTGTGTCAAACTCATATGGCTTGTATGTAGCGTAAAATAAGCCAGTTGTCATTTTCTTCCCACGACACGGGATGGCATTAGTGGAGGAATTCTAGATTGCTCACCAGTGATCATTTGTCTTCGTTGTAGAAGAGTTTTCTTAGTTATTGATTTAATCAATACTGTTTTTCGATTGTTAAGCCATGTCTGTAGCTGCTCTGCAAGGTAATCCGTTATTTGATTTTTGAGTTTTTATTTTGTGTGATATTGCGTTATATATCCGAATATTGAGATGTTTCTACGAAACAACTGACAAACATTTTGATATTCTTTTTAAAATTATTATGCTAACTTTGGTAAAATCCTAGTATACGGTGCAGCCTTGGCGCGATTTGGAAAATTATCGCCAACACCAAAAATGACCCAAAGAACGTCTATGTATATACTTTGAATGACCCGTTTACTACTCATCGTATATGTTTCGTTTTTACTGCTCATCATAAAGTCGCCAAAAGAAGCCAAATCCTGTATGCACCGGATACTAGGATCGTTTTATAATATATATATGTATTCATTTACTATTATATATATATATTAATTTACTGTTATATATATATATTTGCTATATATATTGGCATATATTTTACTGTTTTTGATTTTTTTGCTCTCTCTATATATGTGTGTACAGAATCACAATTTTTTTTTTATTTAAAACAAAATTAGGTTGATCTTTACATTACGGTAACTGGTAGTTTGGCGACATTTTGGAGGCGATAAAGGTTACTACCTGGGACTTTGGTAATAATGTGAGCAGTACTGAGTTCCGATTACGCATTATTTTGTGTGGGGGAAATGCGAGATCATGGGATATGTCATGTGATATTAATGGACGAATTACGGTTCTTTAATCGGAAAAGGGGGGAAATCGGGAAAAAATCTGGAAATTTTGTATTTGGCTTTATTCTGTGTTGTGTGAAATAGTGTTTGTTGAATTTTTGGATCCCATGGCCCTAAGTAAAGTGAATTCGAAATGGGTATTTAGGGTATGAAAGGATAGTAAGAAAGGTTTTTTTAAGGTTGTGTGAGAGAGAAATAAACATGTTTTATTATGTTATTTTATTTTACCTGGTATCTTGCTTTGAAAGATAAGTATGATTTTAAAGATTCTGAAAGAGAATGAAGAAAAGTGTATCCGCCAGGTAATGAAGATTCTGAAGGAGATTAGGTAAGTTAGTATTTTTAATTATTTTTATGCATTGTTGGAAATGTAAGGTGGAAAGGAATTTGGTATTATTGGGAAAATTGTTATTAGCAATGATTTAGTTTAAAGTAATTAGGATTGTAAGGTAATTTTTATTAATTGAATGTATGTGCTTATTTGTATTTTAAGTAGTGTTTTTTAATTTAATTATATTTTAATTTAATGATCGTGATTTTGTAAGTTATATGTTTGTAATATTTTGGAATATGTTTGAGTAGTATACGTTGAGTATTTTCATGCATTTTCGTGAAATTTTTCTAATTTATGAGAAAAAAGCAGTGTACATGGTTATAGTGAAGAGTGTGCGCAATGCCATTTTTGTGCAATTCTGGGATGTTTTTTTAAGTAAAAATAAGTTGACGTGTACATGGTTTAGTGATATTTTAATTAAATGATAGTTATTTTGTAAATTTTATGTTTGTAGGAATTTGGTATACGTTTTAGTTGAAGTAAACGTGCATGGAACTAATTTAAATACTTGATAATAAATATTTGTAATGCTTCATGTATGAATTTGTTGGTGACGTGTATAATGTAATAGATGATTTAGAGGTAAAAGTTTTTGGATATTTTATTTATTTTATATGTGGAAATGTTCATATTTGTAAAGGGTAAATACTTTTTCACGATCATGTAATTTCATATATGTTCTTTTTACCGGGTTTAAAGATTGAGAAAATTGTCATGTATATTCGTGAAATTTTTTTAATTTATGAGATAAAAGCAGTGTACATGGATATAGTGAAGAGTGTGCGCAATGCCATTTTTGTGCAATTCTGGGATGTTTTTTTAAGTAAAAATAAGTCGACGTGTACATGGTTCAGTGATATTTTAATGAAATGATAGTTATTTTGTGAATTTTATGCTTGTAAGAATTGGTTTACGTTTAAGTTGAAATAAACGTGCATGGAAATAATTTAAAATATTTGATACTAAATATTTGTAATGCTTCATGTATGAATTCGTTGGTGACGTGTATAATGTAATAGATGATTTAGAGGTAAAAGTTTTTTGGATATTTTATTTATTTTATATGTGGAAATGTTCATATTTGTAAAGGGTAAATACTTTTTCGCGATCAGGTAATTTCATATATGTTCTTTTTACCGGGTTTAAAGATTGAGAAAATTGTCATGTATTTTCGTGAAATTTTTCGAATTTATGAGAAAAAAAGCAGTGTACATGGATATAGTGAAGAGTGTGCGCAATGCCATTTTGTGAAAATTCTGGGATGTTTTTTTAAGTAAAATAAGTCGGCGTGTACATGGTTTATGTGTATGTGTTATTTTGAAAAACGCGTAAGGTGTATGGTATTGTGCACTTTTTCTGAATTTTGCAGTGAATATTTGTCATGATTAAGCAGTTTTGTTTGATAAAATTTCTAGCATAAGTGTAATTCGGCTAGTAGATTGTTGGAAGAAGTGTTCAGTAGATAAGAAGAAAAGAAACATGTCTTTACTTCGTGAAGACAAAATGGCGGCGGGGAAAAAAAATAGAGGGTTGCTGTAGGGGAGTTGGTCGCCAAATTTTCGCCAAAAAATCGCCAAGTTACCGTAATGTAAAGATCAACCCAAAATTATTCTCATGTTGTATATTATATGTCTCTAATGGATTGCTTCTTCAGTAAAAGTATAGTTTAGGGTACCCCTTGGCGATTTTTGGCGGTACATGAATACCGATTTTGAGCAATTCTTTCACTCATTATTTTGGCTTGCGAAGCTGCGATTTTTGCGCCAAACATCGCCGCTACACAATGCCAAAATAACAAGACAAACTCAGTATCCATGTACGCATCGACTTATTTTCATAAAAAAAAAATCCCGGAATTGCACAAAAATGGCATTGCGCACTCCTTTGACCTTATCCATGTACACATCGACCTATTTTCACGTTAAAAAAAATCCCCGAATTGCACAAAAATGGCATTGCGCAATCTTTTAACTTTATCCATGTACACGTCGACCTATTTTCACTTAAAAAAAAATCCTCCTGAATTGCACAAACTTGCATTGCACACTCCCTTTACTTTGTCCATGTACACATCGTTATATTTTCACTTAAAAAGTCAAAGGAGCACCAAATTCTACAATATAGGAAAACAAAAAGTATATAATCTCAGTAAAATACATTTTAAACCAAACAATAAAATAACATTAAAAAAGGAAAAACATGTTATACATTTAAGCACTAATAAAAGCAAATATTCACTTACCATGATTTTCGAGTTCGCTTCATACACCCAGAGCCACGTAAAAATCAAAATATCAATCATACTCAAATGACTTTTTTCAAACCACGTACTCTTTCTGATCGAACGCTTCACATAGTGACCATCTGAACCTTTCTTCCTACAAACCCATTCAAATCCATACACCAGTCAATTAAAGCTCTTTTCCCCTTTCCCTCCAAATCGTACAGAAACTTCAAATTAATCTTACTACATTCGGCCATTCTAACGTCTAAAGAATCAAACCAACACACACCACAAAAATGCTTACAAAACAGACTATGATTCAAAATTTCCCAGAATCATGCACCTGATTACGTCACAATAAGGTTTCCATACCATTCAACTACTCAGGCTACCACAAATGAAACAACAACTTGGCGATAAATCAAACAACAACTTCGCCATAATACAAGGGGTGCCTTAAGTCTACTCTACCCGCTTCTTTGTCCACTAAGTAAGTTTAATTTACTGTTTTCGGTATATTAGGTTAGTTTCACATTATGGTAACTTGGCGATTTTTTTCGCGAAACTTTGGCGACCAGCCCTGCTACAGCAACCTGCTAGTTTTTTTTTTGGACGCCATTTTGTTTTAATGCGAAGTAAAGGCATTTCTTTTTTTTTAACTTCAACGTATTTTTCCAACAATCTGCTAGCCGAATTAACGCTTATGCTAGAACTTTTATGGAACAAAAGTGCTTAATCATGACGAAGATTAGGTTACGAAATCTGGGAGAAAGTGCAGAATCGCCCACTGTTTGCCGCATGTTTTTAAGAATTGCACATATGCGGTATCCATGTACACGTCGACCAGTTTTCATTTAAAATATCATCCCAGAATTGCACAAAAATGGCATTGCGCACACTCTTGACTTTATCCATATACACCGCTAAAGTCCTAGCTAGTAACCTTTATCGCCTTACCAAAATGTCGCCAAACTACCTGTTACCATATTCCAAAGATTAGTCGACAAGTACTTTCGAGAACATTCTGGCATGTTATGTAACTGCTGCTATAAATGAAGAGTTTGTGCCATTTTTCGTAAGACTGCTCCCTGCCATTGGTGCAATAAGATCTTGCGCTGTTCTGTCGCTTCTTTTTTCGAATAATCTTTGGATTATGGTAACTTAGCGATTTTTTTGGTGAAAATTTGGCGACCAACCCTTCTACAGCAACCTGCTAGTTTTTGTTTGGACGCCATTTTGTTTTTCACGAAGTAAGGCATGATTTTTTCCCCCTTACTCAACATTTTCTTTCCAACAATCTGCTTGACGAATTACACTTATGCTAGGACTTTTATGGAACAAAAGTGCTTAATCATGACAAAGATTAGGCATAAAATTGGGACAAAGTGCAGAATTGCCCACTGCTTGCCACGTTTTTACCAATTGCACATACACGGTATCATCCATGTACACGTCGACCTATTTTCACTTAAAAAAAACATCCCAGAATTGCACAAAAATGGCACTGCACACACTCTTGACTATATCCATGTACACTGCGTAAGTCCTAGCTAGTAACCTTTATCGCCGTACCAAAATGTCGCCAAACTACCTGTTACCATATTCCAAAGATTAGCCCTTTTTTCTTTTGTTAGAATATTTATGACATCGAAAGCTTAACATTATTTTAATTTAAATCATTATTGGATATGTAGTTTTTGGAGAATCTGAAAGAATAATGATCTGCCATACAGCTATGGAGTTTTAAAAAATGAAATCTTTCGGTGTCAT